ATGAAATGCAAATTAAAACAATATTGAGATTCCTTCTCACCCCAGAAAGAATGGCAACTATCGAGAAACCAACCAATAGCAAATGTCAAGGGGCTATGGGGAAAAAGGAACCCTTCTGAACTGTTGGAGGTGGGATGTCCTTCTGGAAAACTCGAAGAAACACATGTCCTAGAACATGCTCCAAAAAGCAGCCTAAGTGAAGACTCAGCAGCACTATAAAAGCAACCTTGTCCAGACAAATGCATTCTATAACAGTGTTCTCATCCAGAGGGCACAGTGCACAAAGGTAGCAGGACAGCTGCCAGGTCTGATCCACTCCACCCAAGCAACATTATGTTCAGGAGTGACAAGCAAAATAAAGATATTGTGGCTGGCCTTGACGAGATGCTTCCAGGAGAAAAACTAGAATGGTACAAGAAAGGGAGGGGGAAAGACACCAAGTAGCATGTGATGGGAGAGTAAATTTGCTGGGCAACTGAGGGTGAACACAGGACCCTCCTGGAGGAAGGACACGAAGAGTAAAAGGAGTCAACACTAGGCAGGTTCCTTGGCCATGCAAAATCCATACTCCAGTCTCTGGCTTCACAGAACAATACAAATGAATGTAGTACCCAATAGCTACATCACAACAGTTTGACAACAAATGCACACACCTAGCTCCCTAGATTTCATGGGTGCATGTATACCAGCTAATGCTTGCTCTTGTGAAAAGAAACAAGCCATAGGAGAAATCACATCATTAAGCAAGCTCTTGTATTCAAAGCAACTGAATAAGTTTATAAGGAGTTCAAGTGCTCAGACACAAGAATGTTGACAATCTGCACATAAAATCACACCTGCTCTCATGCCAGAAAAAGAGCAAAGCTGAATAAGTTTACTATACTATATTAAACAAACTTCCTATTATTCTACTAACATTTAGGAAATAAACGAGATAGAAATAGGCTCAAAGGAATATCCTTCCATTTTTCATTACATCCTCAACTTTGAAAAAATAGTCAAAAAGTAAATGAGTCTGAAGGCGGGGCTTCTAGACTGGCTTAGTAGAAAACTGGCTAAACCTCTGTCCAAAAAGCAAAGATGAAACTGGGCAAAGCCATCACAACCACTTAAAGAGTCTTCAAATTGATCAAAGACAAACAACAAATTGAGAAATATTTATTCATGAAGCTTTACTCAATCTTGAAAAGAACAAGGGAGACTGTGTTATTTTAGCCAGGGGTTGTTCCCACTGCTCCTCCTGTCCAAATTCCCTAAAGAACAAGCTATACCTGCGTCAGTGAGGCAGCGGTGCTCACTGGCAGCTCTACCACTCATGGAAGAAGGTGACTTAATTTGAACCAGAGGGTGGAAAACCCATATCCAGGTGTTGTCAAAATGGCAGTGGCTCTCAGAGCGAACTATCCCCATACTCAGACCCCTTAGCTACACCAACACCACACAGCAAACACAAGAAGCCCTCCAGCAAGGGACCCCTGGCTCCACTAGCAGCCTCTGCTCACCACAGGCCCGCTAAGCAGCAGATGCACCCTAAAAACTAGCTCCGGGTAACTTCCATTCATAGACTTGGCCTCTACCAGCCACAAATAGTGGACTCTCTCCTGCCCGTACCTTGCTATAGACTCTCCCACCCCAGCCTGGTCCCCACCATGGGGGCAATGCCCCTGTGACGTTTAGTTTAAGGACTATGAATAGCACCCCACAGGCTGGTTCTGAGCATGTACTCATCTGAACAGCAGCCATAGCTGCACCCCAGTCACAACTCTGAGCCAGCAGCACCCTGACTGCACTCTACCCCAGTGGACTCAGGACTCAGCTCCCATTCATGCCCTCCTCAGCCAGCATCCTCAGCACCTGCTGGATGCAAGCCCTGTGCTCCTCCACTTTGTGCTGACGGACAGCACTCATTACTGTGTACTGAAAACCAACACCTAGAAGGTCCAACCAAAGAATGAGGAACAGAATTATGGGGTGAACATCCAAACTGAGTAATTTTGCAATACATGCGTTTTTTCACATAAATAGGAAGAAGGCAGGCAGGCATGTGCTGTAGTCACCATTCCCCTTGATTTACCCTCTAACTCCATGCAAATATGAGCTTGCAATACCACGACACAAGTGCTCTGCTTCCTCACAACTCCCTTCTAGAACATTCCCCATGACAGAAGATGCCAAGAAACCACAACCCAGAGCATACTTGCTTTCCTTGGAAAAGCATGGCCTTAGAAAAAGCCCTCAGAAACTGGGAAAGGCTGGCCGCCTGTCCCTCTGGAGAGTGTACTCACCTTCAGATGGCTGAGGTCTCCCGCTTTGCTGCCCTCAGAGACGGTCGCTGGTCTACTTTCCACACGAGGCCGAACAACCTGCCTAAAAGGACTGGAGAGGGGGAAGCCGCTCACACTGATTCCATCTAGAGAAAAGAACCAAAGGCATAACTAAGGTACAAGCTTGATTTTTTTTTTCAGTTTTTTTTTTTTATTATTAGTACATGCTTGCAGCACAGAGTAATCACATTCCTTGTGGGAAGTTGGTGCATCATAATTCTGTTGTCATCCTCTTTCCCCACCTCTCCCTCTCCCCATCATCTCTTGATCCTCTTCCCAACTGAACAAAATCTATCTCCCTACTTCCTATCATCTATTTCTTATTTTGCTCTTTATTTATAATTTGGGCTTCTCATATAAAAGACACCATGCAATATTTAAGTTTGTGGGTCTGATTTGTTTCATTTTCATTATGGTTTCAAAGTACATCCATTTTCCTACAAATGACTCAAGTTTATCCTTCTTTATGGCATAGTAGTACTCCATTAGGTAAAAATACCATATTTTCTTTACCCATTCATCTGTCAATGGACATAAAGGCAACTTCCAAAATTTAGCTATTATGAATTGTGCTGCTATAAATATAGGTATGCATGTATCACTGTAATGTGAAGTCTTCTCTTTTGAGAAGATACCAAGAGGGGAAAACCTGGGTCAGATGGAAGTTCTACTTTTAGTTTTTTGAGGACTCTCCATATTGATTTCCATAGTAGTAATACTAGTTTACATTACCACTAATAATGTAAAGCAGTTCCTCCACAGCATCTATCATTTGATTTCTTGGTGGTAGCCATTCTGGCTAGAAGATTGAATTTCAGTGTTATTTTAATTTGCATTTTTCTAATGG